GGATCACGACCTTCCCCATTTCATGCAAACGGGGCACAGGCTCCTGGCACGGTGCCGACGTGGCCCTCGACAGGGCACCCCTGTCGTGCACCAGTGGATGGGCGGGGCCCCTACCCGAGGGGGAGCTGCAGGGAGTAACCTGAGCGGAACGCCCTTTACTCCGCCTCATACTGGAGCTTAGCAGAGGCCCCAAACCTGGGGGCAGGGACAAGGCAGTTTCAGGCCACACCCCTTTGCTGGCATTCCATCCTTTGGCACCTTAACCCCGCCCACAGCCCACCTGGCTGCTCCTGCACTAAGGACCAGCATCTTCCCGCATTAGCTTTCAGTGAGGGACCCCAGCACTCCACAATGGGTCCCCTGCTCAGCGCCCCCACTAGGCAGTTTCCCCGGCTCCCTTCTTTTGGGGGTGGGGGCAGAGGGGGAAAGCGGCCCTCCAAGGGGTGAGCCACACTGGATCAGTTTGCTCAGAGTGCCACATAAGAACAGCCAGACTGGGTCAGACCAGTGATTTATCTAGCCCCAGTGCCCTGTCGCTGACAGTGGCCAGTGCCAGGTGCGTCAGAGGGAATGAACTGAACAGGGCAATTTATTGAGTGATCCATCCCGGCGTCCAGTCCCAGCCAGGGCTGCCCAGCGGGGGGGGGGGAGCAAGTGGGGCAATTTGCCCCAGGCCCCGGGCCCCGCAAGGGCCCCACGAGCCCTGGCCTGGCGACGGTCTGGGTCTTCGGCGGCATTTTGGCGGCGGGGGGCCCTTCAGTCGCTCCGGGTCTTCGGTGGCATTTCGGCAGAGGGGGGCCCTTCAGTGCTGCCAAAGACGCGGAGCGACTGAAGAGCCCCCCGCTGCCGAAATGCCCCCGAAGACCCGGACCGCCGCCGGGTGAGTACAAGCGCCGCAGCTCCCCCGCTTTGTCCCAGGCCCTCTGAATCCTCTGGGCGGCCCTGGTCCAAGCTTCTAGCAGTCAGAGGTTTAGGGACACCAGAGCATGGGGTTGTGTCTGTGACCATCTCAGCTAATAGCCATTGATGGACCTGTCCTCTGTGATCTTCTCTCATTCTTTTTTGAACCCTGTTGTAGTCTTGGCCTTCACAACATGGCCTGGCGACGAGTTCCACAGGCTGACTGTGCGTTGTGGAAAGAAATACTTCCTTTTGTTTGTTTTAAACCTGCTGCCTATTAATTTCATTGGGTGGCCCCTAGTTCTTGTGTTATGTGATGGGGTAAATAACACTTCCTTATTCACTGTCTCCACATCATTCTTGATTTTATAGACCTCTGTCATATCCCCCCTTAGTCGTCTCTTTTCTAAGCAGAACAGTCCCAGTCTTTTAAATCTTTCCTCACATGGAAGCTGTTCTATACCTTTAAGCATTTTTGCTGCCCTTCTCTGTACCTTTTCCAAATCCAGTACATCATTTTTGAGATGGGGCGACCAGAACTGCATGCTGTATTCAAGATGTGGGCGTACCATGGATTTATATAGTGGCATTATGATATTTACTGTCTTATTATCTATCCCTTTCCTAATGGTTCCTAACATTCTGTTCGCTGTTTTGACTGCCGCTGCACATTGAGTGGATGTTTTCAGAGAACTATCTACAATGACTCCAAGATCTCTTTCTTGAGTGGTAACAGCTAATTTAGACCCCATCGTTTTATATGTATAGTTGGGATTATGTTTTCCAGGGTGCATTACTTTGCCTTTATCAACATTGATTTTCATCTGCCATTTTCTTGCCCAGTCATCCAGTCGTTTGAGATCCTTTTCTGCCTCTCTGCAGCCTGCTTTGAACTTAACTATCTTGAATAATTTTAAGTCATCTGCAAACTTTGCCACCTCACTGTTTACCCCTTTTCCCATATCATTTATGAATATGTTGACCAGCACTGGTCCCAGTACAGACCCCTGGGTGGCCCCCGCTATTTATCGCTCTCCACTGTGAAAACTGATCATTTATTCCTGCCCTTTCTTTCCTGACTTTTAACCAGTTACTGATGCAGGAGAGGACCTTCCCTCTTATTCAATGACTGCGTACTTTGCCTAAGAGCCTTTGGTGAGGGACTTGCCAAAGGGTTTCTGAAAGTTCAAGTACACTGTATCATCTGGATCACCCTTGTCCACATGTTTGTTGACACCCTCAAACAATTCTAATAGATTGGTGAGGCTTGAGTTCCCTTTACAAAAGCTGTGTTGACTCTTCCCCAACAAATTGTGTTCATCTATGTGTCTGATAATTCTGTTCTTTACTATAGTTTCAATCAGTTTGCCTGGTACTGAAGTTAGACATACCGGCCTGTAATTGCCAGGATCGCCTCTAGAGCCTTTTTAAAAAAGCGACATTACATTAGCTACCCTCCAGTCATCTGGTACAGAGTTAGTAGTTTGGCAATTTCACATTTGAATTCCTTCAGAACTCTTGGGTGATACCGACTGGTCCTGGGGACTTATTCCTGTTTAATTTCTCAATTTGTTCCAAAATCTCCTCTGTTGACACCTCAGTCTGAGACAACAATCAGATTTGTCACCTAAATAGAATGGCTCAGGTGTGGGAATCTCCCTCGCATCCTCTGCCGTGAAGACAGATGCAAAGCCCTCCTGCCTGATTGAGAAGGGATCTCACTCACTGATCAGTGCTTGTGGGGGAGAGAATGAACTTCCCTTTGATGCTATTAACCATGGAGTGCAGTATGGCCCACTTCACAATTCAAATATCAGGAGTCAGACCCAGAACTCAGAAGCCTGGCCCCCAGAGGAGGAGAGCTGTTTAAAGATCACGGTGCTGTTTTTTGATCTCTTGATTTTGGAATTACCCAAACGCCATGTGAGTTGCGGGGGGGCAGCCACAGGGCTGCCAACACTCCCACACGTACAGAGCAGGGTGGTTCTGGCCCCACTCAGCGTTCTCTCTCTCAGGGAATGCCTGGCGTTGCAGAGTCCCCCCACATTCTAATTAATTTATTTGTGCCCCATCTGCCTACCCCACAGCCGATCAATTCATTATGCACCCCTGTGACAACGTGGGAATGTTCTTAATGTTTTCTCTGAATAGTGTGTGTGCCTCAGTTTCCCCTGTGTGTATCTAGATGGTGGGATAAGGGTGTGTGATTGTTGCAGTGACCCCTAGAGGAGGCTGCAGAGAACCGCCAACACTGTGTAGCCTGGCACCTGATGGCCGGGCCCCCTTCTCTGCAAGAATCAGCCATGCTTATTCCACCACCTAGATACTTGAGTAATACGTAAGGGAAACTGAGGTACGCACAGTGTTCAGAGAAAACATTAAGAACATTCCCACTTCGCCCCAACCCCCAAGCCCCGCACCAGTTCTACCCCACATCTGTGTCCCCCAGAGTCCTGCAACTAATTATGCCTTCCCAGCCCCCACATCAATTCTGCCCTCCCACATTTGCCCTCTGCCCCCGTGTGCTCCTGCTCCTCCAGCAGCTCTTGGGGTTCTTCATTCCCCTCTCCCTTCCCAGGCCTGGCCTTGCAGGGATGGAGGGGGAGGGGGAGGGGGAGGGGGAGGGGCAGACAGACCATCTCTCACAGGATGGGCGGAGGGAGCAGAGTTGCCGTGAGCTTCTGGGCTCTCTCTGCGCCCTCTTCCCCTCCCCCAAAACTCCTTTTGGCTCCTGAGGGGAGGGGAAAGAGCTCTGCTTGCCTCCTGCAGCAGCCCTGATTGGTTGCTCTTCCCCTGGAGGTGGGGCATTAGGGAAGGCAGCCAATCGGAGGGGCAACGGTTTCCACCAGGCTGGGCTGAAATAGCTGCGAGAGTTCACGCGGCGGTGAAGGATGAAATCCTGAGAGTCGGTACGTGTGCAAACGAGGGGGCAACACAGGAACCCTTCTGCCCCGATGAGGCAGGCGTGGCCCAGCAGCCACATCCAGACCCGTGGGGAGCCCAGTTGCCTCCTGCTGCAGCTGGGGTTTGAGACCAGCCTGGCTCTCGCCCTGGCCCACAACGGCAGTAGGAGTGACAGGTGCTAAGGAAGCAGCAACTGGGGCTCATGGCTCAGGGTGTCAGTTCACTGCAGGGGGGCGTCCCACGGTGCACACGAGGCGGCCGATCCGCCACACCTTGGGCACAGGCCTGATCACAGGCCTAGCTTGCCCAATCTGCGATGGCAAATCCTCTGGCCTTTAACCCCCTTCCCCACCCCAACCACTTCCCAGGGGGCTGGATTAGCCCAGCCCAGGGAAAGCTGCATTCCTGCAAAACCTGGTCGGGGGGGGGGAAATCCAGCCAAACAGGGAAGGCAAAACAGCCACCTCTCCTGGGACGCTGGCAGTGCTGGTCCCCTCCAGCCCCAGAAAGGGGAGGGCTGAGAGGACACAGAAGGGGCAGTGGCTCCACCCTGGGCCCTGCCTGCTCGTTTGCACCCCTCACTCCTGGCCCATTCCCAGCCTCACCCCCTCATGCCCCTGGAGGCCCTGCAGCCCTGGTATCCCATTGCAGCCTGCAGGATCCCCCATCGAGCAGGTGCCCGCATCGAGCAGGTGCCCGCAGATCCGGCAGTGTGTCAAACCCTGTGGCGAACACCTCCCCTATGACCCCCCCCCACTCCATTGCCACTTGCCCCTACCCCAGCCTGCAGGTGTTAGCACCCTCCCCCAGCCTCGTAGAGCCCTGATCCTACTAGCGCTTGGGGGTGCAGCCTGGGAAAGGGGGAGATTGTCCAGGGCTGCTGGCCAAGGGGGGCAGCCTATTGGCGGGTACCCCAATTGCCCCTGCTGGAAGCCGTTCTCCCCAGCCTGGATTCAGACCCCCCCCCCCATGCCCATCTCCTGGGGCGGGGGCTTTGGCGTGTCCAGGGGGAGCAGGCCCCTGTCTGTCTGCCCGGTAAAGTCTATTCCAGCGGCCCAGCCATAGGGGGAGCAAGAGCCCCACACAGCCCGGCTCCCCGCCTGCCCCACTGCGCTAGGATGCCAGCGGGGGGACGTGGCTGGTAAGGACCATCCCTCTGTCCCTCCTCCTGCGATTCCAGCGCTCCGGCGGCTCAGATGCTGCAGGTCTCCCCAGGCAGCGCCGCGCCGGGCCCCGCAGAGAGCCGCGGCTGGGCACGGGGGGGCAGGACGAGGTTTGTGGCCGGACCCCCGGGAGCGCAGAGCGGGCTGGATTCACCCCGCCCCGGGATCGGGCTTTGCTGCAGCGCCGGGACGGGGGCTGAGGCTCCGGGCGGCCCAGTGACCCCCGCTGGCGCATCTTCCCTTGGCCGGCTCCCGAGCATCTCCCCGCAGGGGGACCGGGTCGCCGCCCGCCCCCCAGCCAGCCACCTCCGCAGCGGGGGGCTCTGAGTGCGGGGCCCCGCCCGCTAGACCGGGGTGCGGGGCGCGGCTGCCGCCCAGGTAGCGCCATCGCCAGCCGCCGCCGCCGCCTCCAGCCCGGAGCGGAGCCCGGACCCGTCCTCGCAGCGCCGCACGGCGGCTCGTCCCAGCCCATGGCCCGGGGGCTGCAGCCCTGAGCCCTCCGGCCCAGGGGCTCGCCCGGCTCCCTGCCTTGGTCCCGGCGGCGGGACGCGAACCTGTGCCGGAGCCCGCCCCCCCGCCAGCGGGCCTGGCCGGCGACTGGATTAGATGGAGCTCGGCGCGGCTGGCGGCAGCATCCTCCTGGGGGCTGGGTTCGAGCCTGCCCGGGCTGGCCATGCAAGACTGAGCGTTAATCGCCTGCACGGGAGCGCTCCGCGAGCCTGCTAATTAAGTACACGCGCGTGCCAGGCTGCTAATTGCAGGCACAGGACCGCCATGCAACGCTGCTAATTAACGGTGCGTCCACGACTGCCACATTGCTGGCAGCCCGCTGCCCTGCCAGGCTGCTGGGGAATGGCCTCCCTGCCAGACGGCGCATTCGTTGCAGACATGCAGGGTTGCTAATCAGCTGCACTTGCAGCCCCGGTTGCTTTAACTGCCTGGCTGCGTCCTAGCCCCCCGGTTGGCTCATCCCTCTCCCTGCCTCCCTCAGCATGGGCACCGTGCTGTCCCTCTCCCCGGGCTCCCGGAAGGCCAGCCTGTACGAGGAGGGCTCCTCCGGCTCCCTGGCGCACTACCCGGGCGTGCCGAGCGCCAAGGGCAGCGGGCAGAAGGCGGACAAGAACCTCAAGCGCCACTCCATGTTCATCCCGGCCTTGACCTGGAAGCGGCTGGTGGCCTCCACCAAGAAGAAAGGCTCCCGGGGCGGGGGGAAGGGGCCTGCCCACAATAACAACAACAACCACCCCCACGCCAAGGACGTGGCCCTCCTCAACCACGAGAACGTCAAGAAGTCGCTGTCCTGCGCCAACCTCGCCAGCTACGATGGGGGCGGGCCACCCCTGGCGCCGCTCAGCGCCAAGCGCATCTCCACCACCTCCGTCTCCTCCCTCAAGCCGGGCGCCTTCCTGGGCGGGGGCAGCTCGGCCTCCCCGCGGCGCGTGGTCGTCCAGGCCTCCACCAGCGAGCTGCTCAAGTGCCTGGGCGAATTCCTCTGCCGCCGGTGTTACCGCCTCAAGCACCTGTCGCCCACGGAGCCCATCCTGTGGTTGCGCAGCGTGGACCGCTCGCTGCTGCTGCAGGGCTGGCAGGACCAGGCCTTCATCACCCCGGTCAACGTGGTCTTCGTCTACCTGCTGTGCCGGGAGGTGATCGACGGGGATTCGGTCTCCAGCGAGCACAACCTGCAGGCGGCGCTGCTCACCTGCCTCTATCTGTCCTACTCCTACATGGGCAACGAGATCTCCTACCCGCTCAAGCCCTTCCTGGTGGAGGCGGCGAAGGACGCCTTCTGGGACCGGTGCCTTCGCATCATCAACGCCATGAGTGGCAAGATGCTCCGGATCAACGCCGACCCCCACTACTTCACCCAGGTCTTCGCCGACCTCAAAAACGAAGGCAGCACCCGCGAGGACTTTGCTCGCGTCCTGGACCGGTGACTGGCTCAGTGCACAAAGGACCAACTGCCCCCCTCCCCACCAACCTCATGTGCAGCGCAGCCTTCGCCTTGCTGTGACCTTTAAAGACCAGCTTGCGGCGAGCCAGGGATTTTCCTCTGGCTCGCCTGGGCCAGATCTCCCCGGAGCCAGGCCAGACTCATCCAAACACTTACAAGAAATCTGGCTTGGCTGCCCCTCCCCCCTCCCCCCATGAGCCAACAACAGGGGGTGTCTGTGTGCAGCGTGGGGGAGGCAGCCTTCAGCTCCGGTGTCTGTGTCAGAGACAGAAGAGGAGCAGCCAAAGGCCAATAGTGTGATTCCCTTTGAATAGGCCCATAAGTGCCTGTAGGTTCCCTCCTCCCCTCCCCACCCCCCAGTGCCATGTTCGTGGCTTGTTCATTTCTTCTTTTGGGTCTGCTTGAAATGCATTCCAAAGCGATGGGAAAAATCCCAGGGAGGATCTAAAATATACACGTGACGCGCGCTTTAGCTTCGGTCGGTGATGTATTTGTACAGGTGAATTCGGCCTTTCGAACTAGCCCTGCCTTGCTTAGAAAACCTCCCGCCTGCTCCTTGCCAGAAACTGGGCCAGCTGGTGCGTTGTACAGTCACGCCAGAGCCTTCCTTTCGGTACCTGTCTGAGCTCTGCAGCCGGGAATCGGCGCTGGCCGATGACTGGGACAAGTAGCTGATGTCCCCTCCTAAGGAATCTCCAGGTGCGTGGGGGTGTGGGGGAAGTGGGCCAGGCTGTAGATGGAGGGTACTGGTATCATGATTGGGCTTTGATTGTCCTGGGCGTGGCCTTGGCAACTGATGAGCCAGGGCTAGAAGCATTTGAACAGGCAGTGGCTGCCCCGTCTTTTGAAGCAGGTCCCCGAGGTGTTGTGTGGTGGAAGCAGGGGATGGAGGAGCTGAGAGATGGCTGGCTGGGGCTGGGGAGTGAGGGGCAGGGCTGGCTGGCTGGGGGGACAGGGGCAGGGCTGACCAGCGGAGGTGCTGCAAGCCTGCGCACTACTGGTTTCGTTTGTGAGTTTCCTGCCCCCGTCCCCTGGCAGGTCCCCTCAGGGTGCGAGTGACCCCATGATCCCTTTACTCCCTGATTCCTACCTGGGTCCCCGTGAATCTTGCTCCCCCGGTGTTACATTGACTAAATCTCATTTGAAAAGTCTCCTGTACCCCACCAAGCGTGTGGGGTGGGTTCGGCACCTGGCGTCTCTCTCTGCTTGCCTGTCCCATTGCTAGTCTGGCTGCAGGATTGGGGGATGTGCTAACCCCCCCTTGCTGTCTGGGGCTGCTCCAGCCTTGGGCCCAGCCCCGCTCCTTTGTCCCCAGCCTGGCTAATTCATCCCTACCTGGCAGGGCCCCTGCAGCGTGCCCACTCTGAAGAGGGTTTGCAGATAGGATCTAGGGAGGGGGTGTGCAGGATCTGCCGCAGGGATGGTGCTGGGGGGTAGAATGGCTGGAGGAGTGAGGGCTCCAGGCCATTCCAGAGGAGTGTGTCCCCATAATCAGGGGGGTGTAACTGAAATGGACTGCGGGAGATGGGGTGTGTGAATATCGGGGACACTCTTCCTGCAAAGCACGGTGGATTGTGGGTCACCATTACAAATTCACACTTCGCAGACTCTTCCCAGCCACCCCCCACCCCACCCCCGGGGAGGTAGGGCAGTATTACCACCCCACTTTATAGATTGGGAAACTGAGGCACAGAGCCAGCAAGTCGCTTGCCTGAGGCCACAGAGGGAATTACTGTCAGAACTGGGAGGCTTTTCATCCTGCAGGCAGAGCACTGACCTACAGCCCTGGCTGCAGGGAAACCTGAGGCTAGGCGCTCAGATACTGCAGTGACCGGGCAGCCACATACGTATCTAGCTCGGAGGCCTGGGTCACTTGGAGCTGGACTGGAATCCTGCGTGGCAGGGAGCAGGCTGGGAGGTCTGAGAGGTCTCCTCCATCTCCAGCACCTCCTCCATCTCCATCTTGCAGCTTCACCTGCCCTCGGCTTGGCTCCTATTGGCGCCTAAAGCCAAGAGAGATCTTCCCAAGGGACGAGCCTTCGCGCCTCTCCTCCACGAGCGGGTGGTTGGGAGGGCGCGGAGCTGGTGCCAGGCTGGAGGCCGTGCCCAGGTCACAGAACGAGGTAGCTGACAAACGCACGCAGAGCGATGGGCAGGGAGACCCCGGGGAGGCTACCAGACCCCGCGCATCAGGATTTCCTGTGGCGGCGCCGCCCTGCTGGTGAAAACTGTCAGGCGCCTCCAGAGGTGCGGTGGCTCATCCCACTCAGCCTTGCGTTGGCTGGGGAGGCCGTGCTGCCCTCTCGCGGGAGCTCGGGGTGCTGCAGGGGTGCACCGGTGGCCTTTGCCATGGTGTATCAGTGCCCGGTGCGGTGCCGATTGGTTAATTGACGCTCTGCACCACGGTAGCTACACCACGGTAGCTACAGCCGCAGTCAGGTTTTATAACCAGCCTGCCTGGGGAGTTCTTGGCCGTAGCGATAAGCCGGTGGGTAGACTGCACCTAGTTCTACGATGGCTCATCAAAAACGTTTCCTGGGTGCCCTGCGCTAGGCCCAACCAGGGCTCAGCTGCTCACAGCCAGGTTAGCTCTGAGGCCCTTAACAACGTCCCCAAGGCAGAGTTCCTAAAAGCCCCGACTCCCGGGAGGTCTGCTCCCAGGATCTGGCCCTTACAGGAGACAGGAAGCCAGTCGTGGACTCTTTCTTGCTCCCCCTTAAAGGGGCCCTGCAAAGAAATGGGACTTGTGCCTTTTGCTGTTCCCTTTATGATGGATAAATGAGGGCTGAGACCTTGGACCCATAAAAAGGGGTTGGTTTTGACCTGAGCGAGTCAGGACGTGTCTCTATGGCAGCTTCAGCCCTAACAAAACGAGCTCCAGCCGTGTGGGGAAGGGCCTGTTTTCAACGCTGCTGGTTGTGTTGACAGCTGTTAACGCCGATGCCCAATGAACCCCTGGGAGAAAGACCATCTTTGTTAAAGAGTCACCTGGTCAAGGTGGCAGCCAGGGACTCCTCCGGCAAACCCCAGGGGCTCCAGACCTGACTCCCAGCAATTTGTACCGGGACAAAAATCAGATTCAAAATATCTCCCAAGCTCAGGCTTCTCTTTGTGCATCGACGCAGCCGAGCAAGGGCACAGTCCCAGACAAGTCACGGTCTGGTCAAAGACCCCCTTCACAGCAATGAGGAGGTTCCCGAGCGCCCGGACAGCATTCCCGGGCCCTGCACCTCTCCGGGGCGCTTGGCAGCTTTGCTTGTGTGCATAGATACATTCTTTATAGGCCGGGTATATAAAGTCACTTTATATACACACCCAGCCCTACTGTATCATAGCTATATGTATATTTTTCTATGAGAGAGTATCAGTAACTAACATGGGGATGGGCCCAAATGCCTTGTTGCTTTTTCTAATTAAAAGATCAACTCCACGACTCCAGAAGCTTAGGTCGTGTCACCCAGCCCCGCCCCAAGTGACCCTAAAATCGGGATCGTCGGTGAAATCCACGCCGGTTGCTGCTAAACCAACATCCACCGCCACCCTTCCCTCCCTCCCCGACGTCCCCTGGCCCCCGGTGGATATGCTGTTGTGTAAATAGCCTTGTGTGAAGCGTCGCGAGCGGGTACGTGACGATTGTGCATGTAAAGATGATTTATTTAATTTGTCGCTATCTTTCTCTTTCCATTTGTGGAGCTGTTTTTCAGCAGTGAGTTTCTTATTTAAAACTGGGAGTGGGGGGATCCCCCCCAGCCAAACACGCCGCTCTGGATTTTCTTCCAGAAGGGGAGGACATTAAAGCGCATTCCTCAGATCAGGATTGATGCATTTTCACTGGAACTGGACTCTGCTTATTTTTAATATTTGTTGCATTTCTTCTTTGGAACCACTATTTATTTGGGTGGAGCTGTCCAGCCTCCTCCTTCCCTCCCCCACCCCCAAAGACACCCATGAGCTGAGGGGCTTTGGGGGGTGATTCCGGACACAGACTTGTCCCTTGGTCCCGGTACCAGGGCGTGGCCAGTGTTGCTACAAAGGCCAAAGAACCATGAGACTGCAGTGGGAGGTTCCACCTGGCAATGTGGCGATTCTCCCAACAGACGGAGGGGTCTTCGCTTGCACGCCCCTCCCAGTGCGGAATGAAGATGACAGTCGATATTTAAAGCAAAAACTCTTCCCTTCCCCTCACCCCCTGGAGGTGTTTGAAATCTGTTTGTAATATTTACTATCTCAGACTTGCCTACATGTCTGATTTCTAAATGTGTCATTGCTGGGAGCGAGCCGCCCCCCCAGGTGCTCCAGGGACGGAGCCTTGTCACAGGCTCAAGTATTTTCTGCTGATGACCGTGGCACTTTATGCAAAATAAAATGGGGGTAAAACAATCCGAAACACAAAGTCTTCTGCTTAATGAAACCAGAGTGAGCGCCTGGGCTAGCTGGGGACGACGCACGCAGGCCGGACTTTCACAATGGGGAACGCCTTCCTGGGAAGCAACAACTCTGAAAAAGATTTGGGGTGGGGGTGGATAATGAGCTGAACATGAGCTCCCCATGTGATGCTGTGTCCAAAACAGCTAATGTGATCCTGAGATGCCTAACCAGGGGAATCTCGAGTAGAAGCAGAGAGGTTATTGCACGGGCGTATTTGGCACTGGTGTGACCGCTGCTGGAATACAGTCCTGGTGTCCACAACTCCAGAAGGGTGCTGAGAAACGGGAGAGGGGGCAGAGAAGAGCCATGAGAATGACTAAAGGATTAGAAAACCTCTCTTCGAGAGAGAGAGACCCAAGGAGCTCAATCTATTTAGTTTAACAGAGAGGGTTAAGGGGTGACTTGATCACAGTCTATAAGTATCTACACGGGGAACAAACATTTAATAATGGGCTCTTCAATCTAGCAGAGAAAGGTCTATCCCAATCCAATGGCTAGAAGTTGAAGCTAGACAAATGTTCATTTTTAACAGAGTAATGAATCATTGGAGCAATTTACCAAGGGGCGGGGTGGATTCTGCATCCCTGCCCATTTTAAAATCAAGACGGGATGTTTTCTAAACGCTCTGCTCTAGGAATGATTGTGGGGCAGTCTCTGGCCTGGGCTAGCCGGGAGGTCAGACCAGATGATCACAATGGTCCCTTCTGGCCTTGGGATCGACAGGGACGGGCACTATAAAAATGCACCTATAGCAATGTAGGCCTGGCTACTCCATTCTGCCGAGGGTATCGCATTTCTGCCATAGCATCTCACATTCAGTGTATGGACCAACTTCCTCTCCCTGCCCCACAGGCCGCTTTATACCTCG